ACAGCTTGTCTAGGATGCATTAGTGGAGAGCTAGATTGGAGGTGGAACAACCGGGACTTGAACCCCCATTTCAATATGGGATGCCATTGTTGCAGCGGCATCTTAATTCAGTAAGCCACAATGCCAGCTCCAATTTGATTTTAGGTGGGTCCTTGGTGGCCTTGACACAGAAGGGCCTTGGCACTGGAGACTGCTGTGGTTGGCTTTTTTCCCATGGATAATATTGATTTTTTAAAAGTTGACGTCAAACAAATTTTCAACCTGAAATCAGACAAAACATGTGTGGATTAAGGCTTTGGCTTGGAGGCTGTTGGCTTGCATTCCTTGCGCTGGCCATCTCCCTTCTTGGAAGTAAAAGGTTAATGCTGCTATGAGCAATTCCCAGTTATTAAGCACCTCGGTTGAACCAGAAATAGAGCACCTCCTTCCAACTGCACTATTATATTTAATGTTCTTTTCTCCTAAGTCATTCAGAACTCTGTGCACGCCATTCACGCTGTGCCACTTGCAAGGTTGCCTGGTGCATGTGTGACTATAAATGAGGTCAAATCCCTGCTTTACCGGAAGATGCTGATGTCTTCCCATTGCCTGTCGCCCTGTGAGCCTGTCGCCATGGGAACTGTAATCAAGTACACAAGAACACCTCCATGAACAAATCCTGGGGGAACAAAGTTCATTTTAATGAAGCTGGTCTGACCGCCTAGCGATCTGGAGGACGTCCTGGGCTTCTCTGAGGCGTTGTGCCGCCTCCTGACTTTAAGCTGGCTCTGGAGGAGGAGAAAGTGGAGCTGTCTCAGGTAGGAGCTGGGGTGGAGCCCGAGCAGGGAAAGTCGGCCCAGGCCTGCCCCACCTGCAGAAGCAGCAGGAGAATGGTCTCGGTTTCCCCGGGGCTGTGCCAGCTCTGCGGGGGTGGGGGGTGGGGGGATTGCACCTGCCATGTGGAAAGCATGCTGGCATCCCAGACTTGGGCTGGAATGTTCTGAAGGATTGCTGCAGCCCAGGAATCCTAGGTCAAAGGGATCCAGGTCTACAACACCTGCTCTGGCCCGTGCAGATGGGACAGGTAGGGGATGGAGTTGCCCTTCCCTTGGCGCATTCTTGCCATGTGCTGCAACGTGTGCCCTTCACCTGCTCTCCAAACAAGCCTGGGGGTCGGGAGAGGAGTTTTGTCTTCCTTTCACTGCAGGCAAAGAGCCTGGGGACCCCTAGGCCCCTCGGCCCTTGCCTCCTTCCTTTCCTCTGTTGGGAGAACCAAGCTTTCTGCCTCGGTTTCCCTGGGCCTGGGGTTAGTCCTGGCCCTTGCCATGCCAGAGTCCCCGGCCAGAACTAGGCCCTGGAGTTAGGACCATCATGGTTCCCATGCTTGTCATGGTAGACTGGGCTTGGCAACAGGAGAAACCAATGCTTAGAACCAGTATCTTATTGGTGTATTAATTGCATTTACTTGTTCTCTTTAATTCTCATTTTATTTATTTGAGAGATGGGGAGACAGAGAGCTTCCATCCACTGGTTCACTCCTCGAATGCCCAGGAGCGGGGAACTCAATCCAGGTCACCTGGGTGACAGGAACCCAGTCCCTTGAGCTGTCTCCTGCTGCCCTCTGGGAGACACCCTGGGGTGCCCATGAGCAGGAGGCTGGAATCAGGAACAGAGCCAGGACTCAGACTCAGGCACTGCTGTGGGATATGGGGCCATCTAAGTTTTTTAATGGCTAGGCCAAATGAGTCACCAGAACCACTACTTAAAATATAGTTACTATAGGGCCAGTGCTGTGGCATAGCACACTAAGCCTCTGTCTGTATTGCCGGCATCCCAGATAGGCACCAGTTCATGTGCCAGCTGCTCTGATTCCTATTCAGTTCCCTGTTAATAACCTGGGAAAACAGTGGAGAATGAGTCAAGTGTCTGGGCCCATGCACCCACATGGGAAATCCAGGGCAAACTCTGGCTTCTAGCTTCACACTGGCCCAGGACCAGTCCTTGAAGCCTTCTGGGGAGTGAATCAGCGAGTGAAAGATTTCTCTCTCAATCTCTCTCAAAATCTCTCTCTCTCCTTTCTCTGTAAGTATGCCTTGTAAATAAAAATAAGTTGGGGGTCGGTACCATGACTCAACAGGAAATCCTTCACCCTGTGGTGCCAGCATCCCATTGCGTGCACCAGTTTGTGTCCCAGCTGCTCCACTTTCCCATCCAGCTCCTTGCTTATGACCTGGGAAGTCAGCAGATGATGACCTGGGTCCTTGGGACCCTGCACACATGTGAGGGACCCAGAGGAGGCTCCTGACTCTTGGTTCCCGGCTTTGGACCAGCTCAGCTTTGGTGTTCATGGCCATTTGAGGAATGAACCAGTGGATACAGGACCTTCTCTCTCTGTGACTCTGCCCTCCTGCTGCAGTTTCTTCTTTAGCTTTCCAAAACACCCTAGGCCTGTACAGGGAAGTACGTGCCTAGCCTTAACAGCCTGAATCAAGCTGATTTGGACACAGTCTGGGGGACCCTGGTCACATAGGAGTGGGTCCATGGCAAGGTCAGGTTCATAGCTCAGGCTTCCAGGCTCACTCCTGGTCCCTCTCTTACACCTGCCCATGCAGCTGAGAAGGGTATGTAGGCGAGAAGGCGGGACAGAGAGAGAGTGTGGGGGCAGAACATGACAGAGAGAACAGAGCCTTCTAGGCTTGAATGGCCTTTGCCTGTCCGTCTAGCCCCTAGGCCATGTGGAAGGCTGAAGCTTTTTCCTCTATCCCTGTCCAACAAGCAGATTGGTTGATTTAAAAAAAAAATACTATGTTACTAAAGTTGTAACACAATTGATTAAAAAAAAACCAACAGAATGTATCAAATTACCTGTACCTGGATCCCTTCTGCTCCAGCTCACCTCCTAGAGGCCATCACCGTGCAGTTGTACCCTGACCATCTTCTGATGCTTTCCCAGATGCATTAGCAGGTAGCTGGATAGGAAGTGAACAAGGGACAAGAACGCACACTCCTCTAGGGGACACCGTTATTGCCAGCAGTGGCTTAACTCACTGCATCACAACACTGCACCCTCGCACTCTGAATGGTCACAATATTCCAGACTGAACCAGGCTGAAGCCAAGGACTACAGACTCCATCGGTCTTCCGCAGAGGCCCAAGCACTTGGGCCATTCAACATGGCTTTCCCAGGTGCATTAGCAGTGAGCTGGAACAGAAATGGAGCAACAGGGACTTGAACCAAATCTGTGCTCATGTGGGATGCTGGCATTGCAAGTGACAGTTTAATACAATGTGTCACAGTGCTAGCCTGGGTCCCACTATTCTTATTAAATGTTTATAATTTTTATTTTTTTAATTTAAGAAGCCGAGAGATAGAGATCAAACTCATCTTCGAGTTTGCTCCCCAAATAACTGCAATGACAGAGCCGATGAGCCAGGAATTGACGATGTCAAGTCTCCCCACAGGGGGACAGGAACCTAGATACTTGAGCCATCACCACTGCATCCTAGGCTCTGAAATGGCAGAAAGCTGGACAGAAACTGATTCAAATTCAGGCATTCAGATATGAGAATCAGGCATTTTCTAAACACACGCACTCCCCATAGTAGCCAGCGATTCCTTCGATTCCTTCGTGGGTATCATTCATCTTTGGTTTTGCATTTCCCTAATGAATAGTGCCCTGAGCATCTTTTTAGGGTCTCGCTTTTACATCGTGATTTGTTGTTGCAGAGTTGTAAGAATTCTTTAACTTCTAGATAGTCACTTCCTACGGGATACACGATTTACAAATATTTTCTCCCATTTCACTGACTGTAGCTTTTGACGCACATCCCCCTGGGGCTGCCCAGTCCTGACTCCCTGGTCGGAGATCATTTGCCCATATATGGTGAAGTTTGATGCCACACACTTGGGAGAGTGGTGGGGCCGACAGGACACGGGCTCTGTCTTCAGGATAGAAATTCTCAACATTCCGCTTCAGGCAATATTTGTCCAGTGCTCAAGGCCTGCGCTCAGCGGGCACTAGAACCCGTTTTCCCACGCTTACTGTCGTCACTTCCTATCGAGATAGTAAAGGAGATAGGACGACCCCACTACCCCATGCTCAGTGCAGGGCCCGGGGTGTCCGGAGCACGGACAATCAAAATGCCTGCTTCCTCAGGAAGATGCTCTCGTCTCTAATACAGGGGTACTAGAAACATGAAATGTTCAGATGGGAGCCTTAGGAGCCTATGATCAGAGTGGCTAAAAGCTGGGGTGCTCTCCCGCAGGCGGTGTAGCGAACCCCAAACCCCGCTGGCAGCCCGGAAAGTCAATCCTAAAGCCGGAGCCCCACCTTGCCGGGCGTAGCCCGCGTCCTTCCCCGGAACCTGGGCGCGGCTGGGCTGTACTACCGGCGCGGGGGGGACACGAGCAACAGGCACACACACAAAAATGCCTGCGACAAGATGCTCTTCTCATTTGTGTCCCGCCACTCCAGAGGCCATGAGGGTTCCGCCACGTCTCCAAAACTAACTCTCCGGGGGTCCCCTTCGCTTTCCTTCGTCTCTCGCTGAGTTACTTCTTGGCCTTGACCCCTCGGCGGGCCACTCTTTTGGTACATCCCGACTCTGATTCGCCAAGGCGGGGCGGGCGCCGAGGGCCACTGCGCATGCGCGCGCCGCGAGGGTGGGTGGGGCAGGTGGGAGGAGTGGGAGAGGGGAGCGCGAGCGCGGACCCCGCCCCTCGGCGGCCGCACGCGTGACGTCGCCGGGGGCGCTGGCCTCCGCCGGGCTCTGAGCGGTGAGAGCGAGGGGCTGGCGGGCCCGACGCCGCCAGCGAGATTGGGAAAGGGATGAGGGTGCTGCGGTCCCTCGGAGGGGGCGTGCGGGGGCGGGGAGGCCTAGGTGCGCCAGAGGCCGCTGCTCACCCTCAGGCTCTGGCCCCCCCCGGGTCCTTTTAGTTTCCCCTTTCCAGAAAGTCCCAGGACTACTGGAGGCAGGGCTGAGGCTGAGCGTTCCTGGCGCCTGCATTTTCGGGTCTCCTTCCCTGGCCCCCCACCCCGTTTGCCCGCCTCTGGCCTTCCAGATGTTCCTTGTCATCAGGTTGACACAGGAGGCTGACTTTGACCCTGCCACTGCTAGAAGAGCGAATGCCCGGGCCTCGGTTCCTCCGCTGTGTGTGTGCGCGTGTGTGTTCCTTGCCTCACCTGATTTTGTGGATCAGTTCCACATAGAGAAAAAGGGAAAGGGGACGGACATTTGTGGAGTTTCTGCAGGGCCAAGGAGACACCTGCTCTGCCACGTTTAGTCTTTATCTGATGTTATTCCTGTGTCACAGACTCCTGAGCTCACTGGGGGTGCTAACCGCCTGTCCCTTGGTGAATGAGGAGCAGACCCGAGTGTTGGGCTCCCAAGAGCGGTTCTGGTCAGACATTCCCTGCCGGGTCTGGACTCTGGAAGGAACTGTGTGGCTTCAGGCAAACCCCACACCTCCAGCACTGCTTCCTCCTGTCGGAGAATGGAGAATTCTCTCTCCTGCCTTCTGATAGCTGGCTGCCGGGGCCTGAATGTCATCAGAAGCAAAATGCTGTGGACATCTTGGGGAATCCAGAGCTTTGGATTCTGATCCTGGCTCTGCTAGCTAGAACGGCCTGTGTGGCTCTGGCGGCATCACCTCTTCACCTCGGCCACGCTAGGCTTTGCATCCATGGGGGGTCAGTGCCTCTTGCAGGCTTTATGTGGCTCACCTTTCCCCCCCCTGTCTTCTAGCCGCCTCTCCCTGGAGGCCCAGCTGCCTTTGCTCCCCATGGGCAGCTGCCAAGCAGGGCACAACGTGCAGCTGTGTCTGGCGCACCACCCGCCCCTGGTCTGTGCCACCCTGATCCTGCTGCTGCTCGGCCTCTCTGGCCTGGGACTTGGGGGCTACCTCCTCACCCACCGGAGCAGCCTGCGCAGCCCGGACATCCCTCAGGTGAGCACCCCCCTGCCCGGTCCCATCCTCCCTCCCCCCAGGCAATCCTGTACTTGCTACCCTTCCCCTCTCACTTGTTGCCCGTCTTCCTCTTCACACACAGGACTGGGTCTCCTTTCTGAGGTCTTTTGGCCAGCTGACCCTGTGCCCCGGGAATGGGACAGCCACAGCACAACGGCCAGGCTCTCATGTTGTAGGCTTACTGACCACGTTGACTTTTGGGGATGATCCAGGCAGGAACAAGACCCAGACATTCCAAGCCAGCATCCCAGGCCGGCAAGTGGGATTGAAAGGTGAGCTGGGTGCGGGGTGTGGCGGTGGAAACATGTGGCATCCAAACATGTAGAACTGAGCCCTGCCTCTCTCCTCACCAGCCTGGTGGCTATGGGTACATCCTTGGATGTTACTTACCACCTCTTTAGCAGGAATTGGGTACTTGTTACCCAAGGGAAGCATCTCAATCAATGGCTTTTCTTTGCCTTTCCTGATTCTTTGAGTCTCTCTTTGTGGTGTGATGACAGGCCAGATTTGACCCAGTGTTCTTGCTGTCTCCTCTTAGAAGTACCTTCTCTTTCCATGTCCTGTTCAATTAAATGAGTGCCTTAAGTGCTTTGCTGTGTTCTTAGATTAGCCACTGTTGGTTTCCAAAGAGTTTGTCTTTTGGGAACAAGTGAGGGAGAGCGCGTCACCAAATGGACTCTGATGCCCGTGTGTATTTGACTTTAGGTGCCTTATCAAAACAGTAAGGAAAGGGTGCTGGGGTGTGATGGGGAAAGCCACTCTGACTTTCAAAATAAAAGAATAAATCTTTTAAAAATGGAGAGATGAAGAGGAAGGAGGGAAAGAATTTTTTGGATTTCCGAGGTCAGAAGGACCTCACGGTGCAAAGCGATACTGTCATTCTAAGATGCTTCTCAGGTCACGTGGGTGAGTGTATCCACCCAGTATGCATGGATGTAACAAACTCCAAGCTTGAGGGGTGCCTGATATGTACAGATTTGACACAGATTTTTCTACCTTTTGAAAAAAATACCTGGGGACCAGTTTTGTGTTGCAGTGTGTCAAGCCAGCACTCGCTGCAGCTGACATCAGCATCGGCCTGTGGGTTTGAGTTCTGGTTACTCTGCTTCCAAGCCATCTACCTAGAAATGCATGTGGGAGGGCAATGACTAATAGCCCAAGTGCTCAGATCCCTGCACCTCGCCCCCAGGTGAAAGGCCAGGGTGGGGGTTCCTGGCTCCTGGCTTTGCCCTGGCACAGACCCTGCTATTGCAGCCATTTGGGGAGTGAGCTACAAAGGAGGATCTCTCTCTCTTGCTTTCCTTTCAAATGCACACATCTGAAACAAATACATTGCAACTGGTATTTTGGCTTGGTGAGCTAAGCCGCTGCTTGAAACACCCACATTCTATATCAAGAGTGTTGATTCAGGAGCTCAGCATGGTAGCCTAGTGGCTAAAGTCCTGCTCTTGCAATCCCCTGTGGCCACCGGTTCGTCTCCTGGCTACTCCACTTCCCTTCCAGCTCCCTGCTTATGGCCTGGGAAGGCAGTGGAGGATGCCCTAAAGCTTTAGGACCTGACACCCATGTGAGAGACTGGGGGAAGCTTTTGGCTCCTGGCTTTGGATTGGTTTAGCTCCAGCCATTGCAGACACTTGGGGAGTAAACTAGCAGGTGGAGGATCTTTCTGTCCCTCCTTCTCTCAGTAAATTGACTTTCTAATAAAATAAAACCAAGTAAATCTTATTTCAGTACCCATGCTACTTTCATCATTCTCATGCAACAGTTGAAATACATGTTGTCACTGATGTTAGTTCAAAAAATAAGTAAATCTTGAAAAAAATGCTCAGATTTAATAAAAATAAAATAAAATTTGCAACAAGCTTTTTTTTTTTTTGCAGTAGTAAACATTATTATCCCTGAGATTTATTTGAAATATACTTATTGCTGATTGGAAAAAAATACATTGCTCCTTGGAGTTTTCAGAAAGTTCATAGAGGGGCTGGTGTCATGACATAATGGGGTAAGCCACCACTTGCAATGCTCGTGTTCCTTATGGAGGCCAGTTTGAGTCTCACATGCTCTACTTTCCACCCAGCTCTACGTTTGTGGCCTGGGAAACCAGTAGAGGGTGGACCAAAATCTTGGGACCCTGCACCCGCTTGGGAGACCCAGAGGAAGCTCCTGGCTCCTGGCTTCAGTCTGGCTCAGGCCGAGCTGTTGAAGCCACATGGGGAATGAGCCAGCAGATGAAGGATTTCTCTCTATATTTCACCCTCCCTCTCTCTTTGTGACTCTGCCTTTCCAATGAATAAATAAATAAATAAATATATAAATAAATCTTTTTTGTAAAAAAAAATTAGAGAAATGAATGTTATAAAATAAATATGAAGTTCAAATTTTTTGTACTAAAATAAGCTTGTTTTTGAATCCCATTTCTCAAGGTTTTTGAAGTACCTTTGTATGATGGCTTTACAGAGATAGGATTCATAGATGATACAAATCCCTGCTTTCAAGGGTCCAAGGAAATGGCTTTTAGTGTGTACACAACAGCCTGCAACTGTCACCACCACAATTAATATTGAGAACATCCCCATCAGCCCGGAATAGTCTACACCCATTAGCAGTCACTTCCCTCCCCCATGCCAGCCTCATAAGCCTGGGCAGCCACCAGTATGTTCTCTGCGTATTCATCCTTGCATGCTTTTTTGTAACTGACTCCCTTCACTTTGAAGCGTGTTTTTTTAAAAATAATAATCATCAGGAAATAAGATAATTTATTCATTCTATTTTATAATATAAATATTCTTACAATTTGAATTACACTAAAATTTATAATTTATTGTTAATGAGATAAATTAATTTATTAAATAAAAGATGAATTATTTTATTAATAAATAAAAAAACATTTGTTGACTTGAAAGGGTGACAAAGAGGAAAGATCTCATATTCCCTGGTTCAGTCCCCACCTGTCCACAAGGGCTGGGCCAGGCCAGAGCCAAGAGCTTCCTCCAGGTCTCCCACATGGGTGCAGGGGCCCGGGGATTTGGGTCATCTTCTGTGTTCCCAGGTGCATTACCAGGAAGCTGGCCTGGAACTGGAGCAGTCGAGTATAGAACCAGTTCCCTGATATGGGATGCCAGCATTGCAAGCAGCAGCTTAACTCACTGCAGTACGCCAGCCCTGGAATCATGTTTTAGAGGTTCGTGGGTTTTTTTTTTTTTAAGATTTATTTGTTTGTTTTCGAAAGTCAGATATGCAGAGAGGGGAGACAGAGGGGAAGCTCTTACATCTATTGATTCACTCTTCAAGGGACAGCAACAGCTGGAGCTGAGCTGATCTGAAAGCCAGGAGCCTGGAGCGTCTTCTGGGCCTCCCACTCGGGTGTAGGGTCCCAAGGCTTTGGACTGTCCTTGACTGCTTTCCCAGGTCACAAGCAGGGAGCTGGATGGGAAGCGGGACTACACCCATATGGGTTTCCAGTGTATGCAGAAGAGGACTTTAGCCGCTAGGCTACTGTGCCGGGCCCTGTTTTGTTTTTTTTTGTTTTGTTTTGTTTTTAAGACTCACCCTGTATTAGTTCTTCATTTCTTTTTATAGCTGAATAAGATCCATTGTGTAAATCTTACACTTTTTTGTTTACTCATCATTTGATTTCTGTTTGGGTTGTTTCCATTTTGTTGCTATTGTAAGTGATGCCGCTATGAATACTTGTGTACATTTTTGGTGGGAACATATGTTCACACTTCTCTGGAGAATATACTCATGAGTGGAATATCCGATAAGGCTGTGCTTAATCTCTTGAGGAACTGACAGACTGTTTTCTGCCCAGCTGTACCACTGAGCGTGCCCACTACATGACTTGCACTTTCCCTGCCATGTCACCAGGGCTTGTTATTTTCCGTCTTCCTGATGGTAGGTGGCCAGGGTCTGTGTCCCTCTGAGGTTGTGATTTGCATATTCCTGGTGACTCATTTTCATGTGCTTCATAGCCATTTGCATATCCTCTTGGAACAAATGAATATTCAGAATCTTTCACATGTTTTAAAAATTGGATGATTTAATTACTATTTTAAATATTACATTAGATTGATTAATATAATTATTAAGTTGTAATCATCCTTTAACGTATTATTTTATTTTTCATTGGAAAGTCAGATATATGGAAAGGAAGAGAAATAGAAAGGAAGATCCACTGATTTATTCCCCAAGTGGCCGCAACAGCCAGAGCTCAGCCAATGTGAAGCCAGAAGCTCCTTCTGGGTCTCCCATACTGGTGCAGGGTCCCAAGGTCCCAAGCATTATTTTTTTAAGATTTATTTTTTGGGGATCCTGGTGCAGTAGCCTAGTGACTAAAGTCCTCACCTTCTATGCATCGAGATCCCATGTGGGCACTGGTCCATGTCCTGATGGTCCCGCTTCCCATCCAGCTCCCTGCTTGTGTCCTGGGAAAGTAGTCTAGGATGGCCCAAAGTCTTAGGACCCTGTACCCACGTGGGAGACCTGGAAGGGGCTCTGGGCTCTTGGCTTCAGATCAGCCCTATGCTCCAGTCATTATGTCCACCTGAGGAGTGAACCATCGGATGGAAGATCTTCTTCTCTGTCTCTCTTCCTCTCTGTATACCTGACTTTGCAATAAAAATAAATATATCATTTTATTTTTTTTAAGATTTATTTACTTTTTATATCAAAGGCAGATATACAAAGAAAAAGAAGAGAAAAATCTTCCATCCATTGGTTCACTCCCCAAATACTCACGACTAAAACTGAGCTTATCTAAAGCCAGGTGTTTCTTTGTCGCTTTTAAGTCTGTTCAGAGGCCCAAGGTTTTTTATCCTCCTCCGCTGCTTTCTCAGGTCATAAGCAGGGAGCTGGATAGGAAGTGGAGCAGCTGGGATTAGAACCAGTGCCATTCTGGAACACTGGCACCTGCAGATAGAGGATTAGTCAGTTGAGCCGTTGCTCCAGCACCCTGACAACATCTCAATACAAGCCCCTTATCTAAATTATAATTTGTAGGTCTACCATTTAAGTTGTCTTTCTATTCGGTCAATAGTGTTCTTTGAAATAGAAATGCCCTTAATTTTGATGAAATTCAATTTATTTTTTTTTATTTTGTTGCTTGTATTTTTGTTATCGTGTCTAAGGATGTTTAACTCAAACTCACTAAAATTTATGTGTGTGAGTGTGTGTATAAAGATTTATTTGGAAGACAGAGTTACAGACAAAAAAGGAGAAATACAGAGAGGAAGAGAGATCTTGCATCTGTTGGTCCACTTCCTAAATAGCCACCATGGCCGTGGGCGGGCTGAAGTCAGGAACTAGAGCTTCGTCCAGGTTTTTCATGTTTATAGGATCCCAAGTCCTTGGACCATTTGTTACTGCTTTCTCGGGTACATTAGCAAGGAGCCGAATCAGAAGTGGAGCAGTCGAGACTGCTCCAGCAGCGGGATGCTGGATTGCAGGCAGCAGCTTAATTTACTGCATCATGGCACTGGCTACTACATACATACACATTTTTCTAGGGACTTGATAATTTTACTTGAAAGTCAGATAGAGATCCCTTCCATCTGTTGGTTCACCTCCCAAAGAGCTTCGAGTGGTCAAGGGCTGGGCCAGCTGATGTCTCCCACTTGGGTCATCCTCTGCTTTCTCAGACACATTAGCAGGCAGCAGGGTTGGAAGTAGAGCAGTTGGGATTTGAACTGGCACTGCTGCAGGATGCCAGCAGCCATAGTTAAGCCATAGCCATATAACTGCCTGTGCCACATTGCCAGCTCCCTATCCACTGGTTCTCTCCCCAAATGGCTGCAATTGCTAGAGCTGAGCCAATCCGAAGCCAGGAGCTTCTCCTAGGTCTCCCACATGGGAGCAGGGACCCAAGGGTTTGGGCCATCTTCCGATGCTTTCCCAGGCTATAAACAGGGAGCTGGATGGGAAGCAGAGCAGCCAGGACATGAACCAGCAGCTACATGGGATCCTGGTGCTTGCAAGGTGAGGATTTATCCACTGAGCCATTGCACTAGGAGCCAGTTTTAAATTTTTTATGTATTTACATATTTGAAAGGCAGGGAGACAGAACGCTTGCAGGAACTGACTGTCACTCTCTGAATGCCTGCAACAACCACAGCTGGACTCTAGCAATGTCAGGAGTCAAGGACTCTGTTCAGATATCTGCGGGGGCCTGGCAGGGACCCAGCCACCTGAGCCATCACTTGTTGCTTTCCAGGCTAGGGAGGTGGGACTTAAGGACTCACTACAGGTAAGGCTACAATAATCAAAGCAATGTGGCTCCAGGATGAGGAGAAACACACAGAGCAGTGCACTAGGAAGGAGTGTGCAAACGGACATGTACATGTGCTTGGGAACATTGTGGACGTGGGTATGTAGCCCAGCAGGTGCTCAGCGACTCTCAAGGACCACCTTCTGTGCTTAGCACCCGAGTTAGCAAATTAGGCACCAAACTAAGCTTTTTTTTTTTTTTTAATTTATTTACTTTAAATGTTTAAATGTTTACATAGTTGATCAGCATGGGAAGGATCCAGGATTAGGGATCACTGTTTTTGAACTTTCTATTTCTTTCTCCTGTTTCTGGGGGAAGGAAGGTGATAAGGGGAAGAACCATGCCTGGCCTTTCAACCACTGCAGTACTCGGGGATGGGGAACAGTTACGTGACATCAAGCCAGGGTTCCCATGTGGTGCATGCTCTGAGGGTTCTGCCTGGGTGATTTTGATAGTTCTGAAATGTCAGTCTTGCCAATCTACAGATGAGGAAACCCTTCCGGCTTCCACTGGCTGACACAGTCAACCCCACAGTCTCCATTCGTCCAGGTTTTTGCTATCATCTTGTGGCTGGGATAGTTGTCCAGTTTGTTCTGTTCTCCTTCCTCTGCCACAGTATCAGATGTCCTCTGCAGGCCCCAGTGGGCTGCCATATCCTCCATGTACTTCAGGCCTGCCATCCACTGCTCCAACTTTTCCAGTGAGGAGGACCAGTTCTTGCAGGAGGACCCAAGGACCTGGGCCAGGCAACCCGGTCTCTGCCATTTCCAGAAACTTTTTGAAGTACTTGTGATCAGTAGAATCTCAGTATGAGGACTTTGGCTGGCAGTGTGGTTCAGTAGGTTCAGCAGAAGGCACCTTGTGAAGCAGCAGATCACCACTTAAATAGGTGGATTCCTACAGCCCATGTGGGCACCCAGGTGGAGTTTCTGGTTGCTGGCTTTGGCCTAGTCCAACCCTGACTGTGGTAAGCATTTGGGGAGTTCATTTGTAGGTGGAAGATTCTCTGTCTCTCTCTCCTGGCCATCATTGCTCTGCCTTTCAAATAAATAGGATCTTGAAAAGCATTGAAGAGGGGTCAGTGTCATAGTATAGAAGGTAAAGCCTCTGCCTGTGGCACTCACATGGGTGCCAATTCAAATCCTGGCTGTTTCCCCCATCCAGCTCCCTGTAATGTGCCTGGGAGTCTTTGGGTCCCTGGACCTGTGTGTGAGACCTTGAGGAAGTTCCAGGCTCCTGGCTTTGGATTGGCTAAGCTCTAGGCATTGTGGTCATTTGCGGAGTGAATCAGCAGATGTAAGATCTTTTTCTCTTTCTCTGAGTAAACTCTATTTCAAATAAAAATGAATAAATCTTAAAAAAAAAAAAGGCATTGAGGAGACAGCATGGACAAGCAGAGAGCTCCTGCCTGCTGGTTCACTCTCCAAATGTCCTCAAAGGCTTACGCTGGGCAAGAATCAAAGCCAGGAGTCAGGAACACAGCCAGATCTCCCATGCTGCTTTCCAGGCAGGTGCTGGTGGGAAGCTGGAATCAGAAACTAGAGTCAGAAATTGAGCCTGGGGAATTCAGATATGGGATGGGAGACTTTTACTGCATTTTATCTGCTAAATCACAGTCTTTCCTTTTTTCTTTTTTTTTTAAATATTTATTTATTTCATTGGACAGATATACAAAGAGGAAGAGAGACAGAGAATAAGATCTTCCGTCCATTGATTCACTCCCCAAGTGGCCGCAGCAGCCAGAGCTACACCAATCCAAAGCCAGGAGCCAGAAGCTTCTTCTGGGTCTCTCACATAAGTGCAGGATCCCAAGGCCTTGGGCTGTCCTCAACTGCTTTCTCAGGTCTCAAGCAGGGAGCTGGGTGGAAAGCAGGGCTGCTGGGACGTGAACTGGTGCCCACATGGAATCCTGGTGCGTTCAAAGCAAGGACTTTAGCACTAGGCTACCATGCCAGACCCAATATTTCCTTTTTAAGAAGAGATTTATTTATTTTTATTGGAAAGGCAGATATATAAAGAGAAGAAGATACAGAAAGATCTCCCATCCACTGATTTCACTCCCCAAATGGCTACAATGGCTGGAGCTCAGCCAATCTGAAACTAGGATCCAGGAGCTTCTTTCAGGCCTCCTATGTGAGTGAAGGGACCCCAAGGCTTTGGGCCATCTTCAGCTGCTTTCCCAGGCCACAAACAGGGAGCTGGATGAGCAGTGGAACAGCTGGGGTACAAACCAGCACCCATATGGGATCCTGGCACGTGCAAGGCAAGGAGTTTAGCCACTAGGCTATCATGTTGGGCCCAGTATTTTCTTATAATACGTAGTTAAGGTTTTTGTTTTTGTTCTATAGCATTCTTAAATATATGTAGATTTTATTTTACAGTGAGAACTAACAGCTTAATGGTGTATCTATTTTTTCCACACAGAAATTGTCCCAAGGCCATTTACTGACAAAGCCATCATTTCCCCACTGATTTAAAATAGGGGTGAGCCTTTTAACAGAGTTTGATATCTGGCGGAAAGCTGCTTTCTTGAAAAGGAAGAACTGGTTTATACAGGCTGAGGTCAGCAGCCTTGCCGGTATTGGCATGATGTGCTGTAGCGATTACAAGCCAAATTCCTTTATGCTGCTGTGAAAGCCCAGTTATTTTCATTTCACAATGATATAAATGAGGGCATATGAACTACTTAATTTGAATAGAACTGATGTGGCCGTGCAGAAAGTTCCAGCCACCTTCGGGCCGTATCCCTGCCCTAATGGAAAAGCTCTGCTCCATGGAGAGAGGTCACAAAGCCTTCCCAGAGGTCAGTGGGTGCACAGAACCCCTGCCTCCATGTGTACAGTCCTGGACCCAGTGCCCAAGAAAGGGAGCCACCAAGCTGGGGTGCAATGTGATTTCCCCCTTGGGGCTTGCTGCATTCCTTCCTCCCTTCCGATAAGTCCTGCTCCCGTTCTTATATTGGCTTGAAATTCGTTTCTTATGCAGAGTCAAAAGCTTGGATTATGAGACCCATCCCCATAATACAATCGCTGCCCAGACACTTTGTGTTCACACAGAGCCTCAGAACTGGGTGAAGTCTAAAGTCAGCCCCCGTCCAACCCCTCATTTTCTCTTATCTCTTCTTCTGTGTCTCCTGCAGGGTCTTCTGCGGATGAGTCCATCCTCATCACAGCCAAGGTGATCCCAGGAAGGACCCCAGGAACCTGCCTGTATTTTAATGCGGGTGCAGGAATCCTGCCCTCCAGCCAGCCACCCATGCCCTGCCCCGAGGAAGCAGCAGGCAATGGCAGCGTGAGTCCTCGGGTGAGGCAGGAGTGTGTCCACATCTGGAGCCACGAAGGCCTGGTGCTCACCAAGCTGCTCACCTCGGTAGGAGCTCCAGGGGCAGTCCTGGGAACTGCCTGCATGCTAAGGGTTGAGTCTCAAAGGTGTCTGGAAGCAGTCTTGCCTGGCAGCAAAAGTACAGACCTTCTAACCTTGTCTTGGAGGCTGTGTGACCCAGAGCAAGCGTCTGAATGTCTCTGAGCCTCAGCTCCCCAACGTGTAGGAAGGCATAGCCAACACCATCCTTCAGTTCCAACAAATGACTTAAATGATAGTGACTGCAAAGTGCCCAGTGCCTGGTTGGGCACATAATAGAGCTGTGATGAATGACAGCGATCATGGTCTCAAAATACAAAAGAACTCCATCTCGACCTCAGAGAAGTTCAGAAATGGAATGGCCTGATCGCTGTCCTAGGCATGTGAGCAGTTTCACATAAATCAAGCAGGGGGCAGTTAATCCTACGCAAACCTGTGTGGAGGGCACCCCAGAGAGAAGATGGCATCTGAGAAAGGCTGTAGCAGTTTGTAATATACAAAGTGCTTTGAGATCCATTATCTTATTTGATCTTCAGGTAGCTTTTTGAGTTAGGAGTTATTATGATCCCGTTTTGTAGATGAGGAGCAGCTTGAGAAGGAGGGAGGGAATTGCCTCTGGCCACACAGCTGGCTAAGTGGCAGAGCCAGACTTGTAACCACACCTTCTGCCCTGTCCTGTCGGGGTGATCCTTGATGAATGTGGGAGGCTTGGGAAGCGGGTGCAGAAGGGGCAGGTGAGACTGCTGGGGCCCGATCACCAGGCCAGAATGCTGCAGTTTGGCTCTGAACAAGGGTCCTAAGCAGGAGAGAGAAGTGGCCGCTGAGGCTGGATGCAGGAGGTGGGCTGCATGGAAGAGGGAGGTGGACCAGGAGGCTGCTCTGCTCTGATCTCCCTGGTTGGCAAAGCCCACAACCCCTGCCCTGGGGGGAGCATGCCTTGGGACAGTCAGGGAAAGCCAGGATTCTAGATCTGGCACTTCTTGCATGGCTTGAAAACATCTATGACACTGAACTTTCCTGTCTCCTGTCAGGGGCTGGGCAAGAAAGCGGTTTGGGACCCATCATGACAAACTTCGGGTGATGGAGAAATCACCTTTGCCCTTTGGTCATTCACTGGATGTAGGACCTGCTCCCCTTGTTGCAGGCTTCTCACTGTCCCCCATTGGGCTGGGATCAGGTGTCTTCCCAAGAGAAGGTGCCTCTCCTTGCAGCAGCTCCCTGCCTCATGTCCCCTTCCCCCTAACACCTGTCCCTAGGAGGAGCTGGCCCTGTGCGGCTCCAGGCTGCTGGTCCTAGGCGCCTTCCTGCTCCTCTCATGCGGCCTGCTCTGCTGTGGCACTGCCGTGTGCTTCCACCCGCGTCGAGAGGCCCACTGGTCCAGAACCCACCTCTGAGGGTGCTGTCCTCCTTCCTGCCTGGTTCCTAGGTGAGCATTTTTGGTTTTGTTTTTTTCCTCATCAATCCTGTGGGAACAGGGAATGGGGTGGGATAGGGTGAGGGTAGCAGATCTAGCCTCAAATATGGCTACTTCTGGCCTCCTGAAAACCCAATTCAGTGACATCCTGCAGGGATGGAAGACAGTACATGCCCTGAGCAGTCAACATTTTTCTTACTTACTTTTGCTTTATTATTAGTATAGAACATTTGGTACTCGTAGAAAAGACCAGAAAACATAAAAGTATAGCTTGGCAATTTATCTATTTATTCATGTATTTATTAATGCATTTTTAGATCCCACTCTGGGGACAGTATTCCTAGCAAGTCTCTTCTGGTTCCCTTGCAGTGAGTAGCTGTCCTGCTCTGTGGCTCATCATCAAGCACACATTCCTAAATGGTCTGGTTTGGCTTTACTTATTTCTGAGTTATGTGTAACTGAAAAAGCCAGGAGCCAGGAACTTTTTCTGGGTCTCCCACATGGGTGCAGGAACCCAAGGACTTGAGCCATCCTTCTATACCTTCGCAAATCATAAGCAGGGAGCTGGATCAGGCAGTGGGACAGCCAGGACACCAGTTGGCACCCAGATGGGATGCTAGTGCTTGCAAGCAGAGGATTAGCCTGTTGTGTCACCATGCCAGCCCCTCTTTATAATTTTTTTGAAAAATATTTTTATTTATTTGAAAGAGAGAGGAAAGACACAGAGGGAAAGAGCTCTTCCATCCACGGCTTCACTTCCCAAATGGCTGCAATAGCTTGGACTGAAAGAGGACAAAGCCAGGAGCCAGAAGCTTCTTCCAGGTGTGCCATGTGGGTGGCAGGGGCCCAAGCACTCGGAACATCTGTCGCTTTCTCAGGTGCATTAGTCAGGAGCTGAGTCAGAAGTGGAGTAGCCTAGACTCAAACCAACACCCATCTGAGATGCCAGGCCATGCTGACAGTGGCATAATCCCCTGTGCTATAGCGCTAACCCCTAGAGTTAACAGTCTGCCTGACACTGCCTTTACCTTTATTTCCCATCCACTTTTTGGCAACAGTTGTTCATTGCAAAGCTTCAGGTTTGACACTTCATCTGGATTATGCATCAAATTTGTCTTGCCTTTGCCCTGAAATTTAGAATCTAGCTTTGATGTAAAATTTTACGAACTTCACCCTCATCAGCCCAAAACAATCTGATGACGTCCACTTCCTGGGCACAGCCTAATCACTCAAGCATTTGACACACACTTCCATTTAGTCATCGCCGTGTTTAGGAAAAGCTGAATCCACTAGCAGGATCTTTGGAGGAAGTCGGTATCAAAAGTAGCAGTAGGTACAGGCCAGAGGAAATGAAAGGTCAGGATCAACTCCACTTGCTTTGCTGAGGGCCAGGCCTGACAGCCCCAACTCTCTCCTTGGCACCAGGAATAGTGTTGCCCTCTCAGCCATGGACAGCAACCAGAAAGCTGCCTGGCCCTAGAAGCTTCTGGGACCCTGATGCCACTTGGTTGGTTGATTGACAGTTGACAGTTGTCACTCCCTCTGCTGCTGCTCGTGTTTCTGGCCCATCCCAGAGCTTCCTCCGAGGGCCTCTGACGTGTCCCGTTTGTTGATTTGTTTTCTCTCCAGGTGTAGATGAGCTTCTTGGATCTTGGTTCTGAGTTGGAAGATACAGAAAATGAAGAACTGGAATGTGGGAAGGGGGAAGAATAAAAGGGTTTTTTTTTTTTTTCCCCATTCTTGGCTTAGGTACTTATTGGGGATGGGCTGACGTGGAAATTACAGTGTAAACAGGATTGGCAAACTTCTGGTTGATGCTAATTTTTGCTACAGATTACATTAGGTTGGGAGCTACCTTTAGCTCCTCCATGATTGGGATCGGCTTTTGGAAAACCAGCAGATGGTTTTGGTCCCAGGCTTGCCACTTTAGGTCTTGTTCCCTTCCTTCCTTCCTGTCTTAAGATTTATTTTATTTCTTTGAAAGGCACAGTGACAGGGAGATACAGAAAAAAAGATCTTTCATCCCCTGGTTCACTCCCCAGATGTCTCCAACAGCCAGGAGCCAGGGACTTCATCCAGGTCTCCCACAAGAATGGCAGGGGCCCAAACACTTAGGCGTCTTCCACCACCTTCCCTGGAGTATCAGCAGGGAGCTGAATCAGAGGTGGGGCAGCCAGGACTGAAACCGGCACTCTGGTATAGGATACAGGTGTTGATTATTTCTTCCATAAAATAAGATCGATCTTACTAGCCAGTCGTGGAGATGCTTCGATATTTGTTGCCCTGTGACCTGGGGCATGTCATACAACTCTGCAGAGCCTAGGTTCCACGAAGGAACCTGGCCAATTGTGTTTCATTGAGTTGCAAAGATGCCTCGCACCTGGGCCCCAGCGTCCAGGTTGGATGCTTCCTAGCCCCGCAGCCATCCACTTTCCCGCCTTTTCCGCGCCGAGCAGTGGCCCTCCCTTGCCTCTCCCAGCCGCCGGCCGTGCACGCAGGCGCAGACTACGCAGCCTGCCTTCCACCCGCGCCCCTTCTAAACTTCCCCTAGCAACAAGCTCTGGCTCGGAAGGAAGGCGGGGCCGGCGCAGGCGCCGCAGCTCTCTCCACTGCCAGTCGTTGGAGAGCGCGCTGGGCTCCTCCCCGCGGCAAGCGAGCCGTTCTCCCCGCCTCCTCCCACCCGGGGTCCGCGTGGCGGGGCGCGCGCGCACCCGGCCTCGCCGGCTGCCCGTCTCCCGGGCCAGAGCGTCAGGAGAGAGGGGCGGGGCCGCCGGAGGGACAGCTCCGCCCCCTTTGGCCCGGCGTTCCTACTGCGCCTGCGCGCTCCCGCCCGGTCTCCATCTTGGAATTGGAAGGAAGAGGGAGACCGGGACGAGACCGGGGCTGTGGTGCGGAGAGCGGCTGAGACGGACAGGCGAGGGAGAGAGGGTGCAGAATTGTCAGCTGCGCCTTCGCTACAATCTTCCGGCTGCTCTCGGGAGAGAGAAGGGGCTAGAGAGGAGGCTGGGGCTGAAGCGAGGGCTGTCACCCTCGGACCCCAGCGGGAGAGGGGCCGTGTGGCCAGACGTCCTCGGGGTGGGCCCCCTGTCGGTGGCCGAAGACCTGGGGCTGGCGCCCCTGGGTCCCATATTTCCGGGCTTAGCCCCTCGCTGCTCCAACACCCAGGTATATCAGCCCTCGTCTTGCCGATACCTGGGACTCTGTTTGATAGAATTTCAAGTCTCTGGGATTCAGGCCCCTGCGTGCATCCGTCTCCGGGGTTCATCCCCCCACGAGGCGTTCAGATATTGGATTCCGTTTCCCCCTGCTCCAATATACGGGGTTCAGACCCCACCGTCCGAAATCCGGGATTCAGCAACCATCGCCCTCGAGGTGGGGGAGGACTGGACCGCGAGGTCAGATTGGGTTGTCACCCCCTCCCCTCCAGGGGAGGCTTCCCGGGCCCGCCCCTCAGGGAGGACGAAAGTCGAGGAAGAGGTGGCAAGGGGAAAGGCCTCCTTGCCCCTCTCCCCGCTGGGCTGTGCCGCTGGAGGACCCCGGGCGGAAGCGGAGGCGCTGGGGCACCAGAGTGACCCCTACCAGGTGAGGTGCTGGGTGCAGGGGCGCGGGGTCCTGAGCAGGCAGTGTGCACAGGAAGGCCTTCACAGCTAGTGGTCAGTCCCTGGCTCGCATGGCCTGGCCTTGCCTCCCTCTTCCCCTTCCTCTTCCCTTCATTGTGTCTGGATGGTAGGGGACCACCTCGGGTGACAAGGGATTTTTGTATCACCAGGGGGTCACATCCTGGAGTGCTGGAGCCCATCGGGTGGGTTTCTCCCTCTGGCCTCTGCCCCTCCCTGATTCTGCCCTGTAGATTGAACCTCACCGGGTTGTACGTCTGCTTTACAGGCCTGGTCTGGCTGCGTTTGTTGTGCTGTGTGTGTGTATGTTTGGGGGTGGGGGTGATACCTGGCAGTGTTTTCCCTGCCCAAGTACCTTCTAACTTCTTGCTGTGATGCTGTAAGCTCTTGTGTTTGTCAAGGCGTCTCCAGAAAGCGCCTTTTCAGCCATTCTCTCATGAGCCACGTGCCCCCCCTTCTCCCTGTGGGAACTTTCATATATCCATCCTCCCATTTCACAGTTAACAACACTGAGGCTCTTGAGAAGTCGCCCAAGGTCACCTAGTGACCGAGGCAGGATTGGAACCCCGTGTCCTCCAACCATCCCAGGCCCTGATCCGCAGTTTCCTGGCATCTTTTCTGTTGAGCCTGGATTTGGCTGTGAGGGGGAGGTCCATAGGAGAAGTTAGGGTGAAATGTAAAGCTGGGAGATGAGCCCCCTTACTACTGGTGACTGCCCTCAGGTGCTCTTCCTGGGGCTGGAGTCTGCCTCCCGGCTCTGCTGTGACCTTCAGCTCCACCCCCTGATCCCAGACATTGGTCTGGTGATCACCCTTGTACACAGCTCCTCACAGTTGGAAGCCCAGCCATCAGAGCAGGATGAGGGGCCAAGGTATGGGAACCTCGTGGTGAGAAGTCGAAAGGAACTTCAGAGTCCTGTTGCTGTCCCTTCCCAGCTGGGTGGGGGAGAGACAGGATGGATGTAGTGCAGTGTAGAGACAGATGGATTTGGGCTTTCTCACCTGCACGCCACAGTTAATGCTGTTTGCAGTTATGGGGAGGAGGTTTCACGAATAGCCCCCATCCCTTCCCTGTGGTCTGCATCCTAGGTGGACATTCGTGAGCGTGGGGCTGGTTCAAGAGGCCAGGAAGCTTTCTTTGGCAAGTTGGGGAGCACCTGCCTCTGTGTGTGGGTGTGTGGTGCAGGTGATGGGGGCTTGGCACGGCTGCTGGCGGAAGCTGGGAGAAGGAGGCCTGCCTGGAACTGCCTGCTGAGGGCTGGGCTGAGGACCGTCACTCAGGCTGGCAGGCTATTCTGAGTTCGGAGCCCCCTGGGGGCTGCTGGAGAGGCAGGCTCCCCGCCACACCCGTGCCCTCTAGCTTCCAGTGGGGCTGAGAAGACAAAATTAACAACACAACAGGAAACAATGCACAGCAGAATATAATTACACGCTAAAATTGTTAGGTGCTTTCGAGTAGCTAGAACTGTGCTATGGGAGTCCAGCTGCTCTGAAGGCTGTTGGTGCCGGATTCCAACAAGTGCTTAGCCGCAGGGGCGTGTCCTAGAGTCCCCTGAAAGATGCTGGTTCTGCTACCCTGCAGGCACTTGGGCTAGGTACTGTCCTTCTAAGTGTTCCCCAAGGGCTGCTGTGGTCAGGGGAGGCTGCTGTGCCCAGGGTGATGAGCACACAGGCCTGGCTGAGGAGTCAAAGGGGCTGTTGTCTGACCTTGGACAAAGTCCTATTCCCCTTGGGTGCCCCACTGTGACCTGTGGGAAAGGGTGGCCCTCCACCTTACCTCTGCAAGCGTGTTTGTTTTGTGAACAGTAAGGGTGCTGGCAAGGTCGTGCTGAGTGGCTCCTAGGAGGCACTTGTGGTACCTGCAGATCCACAGGTGTTGCTTGTACCCTGCAATTGGTCCTATGTCGTGTGGTCCCAGGAGTTCAGACAAGGCAAACCAAATGAGACCAGTGAGGAAGGCCAGATCAGAGAGGCCGCCAAGCCAGATACCATTTCTATCCTGTCCTTTTGCATTCTAGCCCTCCTCCCTGCCACTATGTCCCTACCCATTATGAGAGGGAGTGTGGGCCAGTACCCACTTGTAACAATGGCCGGATTTCCACCTCCTCCGGCCCCAGCCATTTCCTGTTCTCTTCCAGGGTGTGAGAGGCTGAGGGAGGAGGGGGCCTCTGCACCCAGGGGAACAGGAAGATGCTGGGAAAGAGTTGAGCAGGCTAGGGGACCGAGTTGGGGTTCCTAGGACGTAGGGGCTGTGGTGAACTGAGGGGGTGAGGAGGGTACTGAGCGTCCCAGAGTCTTCCTGGCAGTTTCAGGGACTCCAAGGACCTGCCCCCCGCCAGCTGGTTGCCAGGGCAACTCCGTTTTTGTGGAGCTCTGGTATTCTAATCTCCCCCTGCCCTTCCTCAGCAGTTCTTCCCCCTCATCTGGGAATGAGGGGAAGGAGAAGGCAGAAACTTGAGGGGCCCCTTCTACGAATCTTACCTCCCTCCCGCAGGCCAGGCCCTATTGTCGGGGCCCCCAGGGGCCACCATGCCAGCTGGGGGCCGGGCCGGGAGCCTGAAGGACCCCGATGTGGCTGAGCTCTTCTTCAAGGATGACCCTGAAAAGCTCTTCTCTGACCTCCGGGAAATTGGCCACGGTAGCTTTGGAGCCGTGTACTTTGTGAGTTGGGTCTTGGGCAGAGAGGGTAGGTGGTGGGGATTCCATTCTAAACCCCTGTGGACCCACTTGACCACCTGGCAACCCTTCCTGTCCTCTCCAGCCTGGCCTGCAGGTTTGCCCCTGCCTTGTGCTCACCATGAGCCTTCTCCACCTCTGCTTTTGTCCCCCAGGCCCGGGATGTCCGGAACAGCGAGGTGGTGGCCATCAAGAAGATGTCCTACAGTGGAAAGCAATCAAATGAGGTGGGCCAGACCCCAGAGGAGCTGGAAGAGTGGGAGCAGGGTGCCTCCACCCCATCTCAGGGTGCAGCCTTGGTGACCCCACTCTCACCCTGACTTCCTCCTAGAAATGGCAGGACATCATTAAGGAGGTGCGCTTCCTACAGAAGCTCCGGCATCCCAATACCATTCAGTACCGGGGCTGTTACCTGAGGGAGCACACAGCGTGGGTGAGCTGGTCTCTGGGCTCTGTTCGGCATTCTCCTGTGGGATCTTGAGAAAGAGGAAGTCTGTCAGGACCACTTTGGTTTTCAGACAAACCCCTGAGTCACAGTGTCAGTACAGAGAGAGAAGCTAGGCTGCAAGAGTGACGTGGGCTGTTAGCAGGTGGAAAAGGGCATGTGGGCTGGCATGGATGCAGAGAGCCTAGAGCTCCGAAGAGTCTTGGATGGGTGTGGCTGTTGGAGTCTTGGACTCTTTCTTGGGGAGGCCCTAAGTCTAGGGATTGTCCAATCACCCCCTCCTTTTCTGCACTTGCCCTTCCTTCCTGTCATTCCCTAGAAGAAGGATGAGCAAGGAAGGTCAGTTTTAAGTCGACATGAGGGAACTAGGCCAGGGTGGCCAAGAACTGCTGACTTCTGACCTTTAACTCTTCCTTAGCTGGTGATGGAGTATTGCCTGGGTTCAGCTTCTGACCTTCTAGAAGGTGAGTGACTTGCTGCCTCTTGACTGGGAGAAGAGTGGAGAAGCTGCAG